CCATTCAGCCAGCCTCTGCCAGACACACGGAGGCAGAGGTGACCTTGCCAGGGCCCTGCTCCCAGAAGCCTCCATACATTCATACAGTGCACTCACTGGAACCCCTCCAGGAGGAGGAGGGAGATACAGAGGGGCTGCCAGCAGAGGGCGCCGCAGGAGCAAAGGGCTGATGGCCAGCCCAGCACTGCTCGCAGGCTTTGTCTTCGTCTAGTTTTCTGCATGAACCCAGGGCACAGCCACAGAATATTAGCGGGGACGGTCAGTGGGCGCTCTGGCTCGGGGCCCCCGGACCTTGGTGACGGCCCTCTCTCCCCTCCCAGTCTGCCTGAAGGGCACCAAGGTGCACATGAAGTGCTTCCTGGCCTTCGCCCAGGCCAAGACCTTCCACGAGGCCAGCGAGGACTGCATCTCGCGCGGGGGCACGCTGGGCACCCCGCAGACGGGCTCGGAGAACGACGCGATGTTCGAGTACCTGCGGCAGAGCGTGGGCAGCGAGGCCGAGATCTGGCTGGGCCTCAACGACATGGCAGCGGAGGGCGACTGGGTGGACATGACCGGTGGCCGCATCGCCTACAAGAACTGGGAGACGGAGATCACGGCGCAGCCGGACGGGGGCAAGGCCGAGAACTGCGCCACCCTGGCCGGCGTGGCCAACGGCAAGTGGTACGACAAGCGATGTCGCGACAAGCTGCCCTACATCTGCCAGTTCGCCATCGTGTAGCCTGGGGACCCCGAGGGGGGGCGGGGGAGGCGAGATCGTGGGGGCCACAGAGGGCTGTGGGGACCTTCCAGCCTCGGACCCCTGCTCGCAGATGCCCTGCAGCGCTTGGAGCCTCCTTTTGCAAATAAAGTCGGTGCAGCTTTTGGAGAGTGGCTGGGTCCCTGCGGGGTGCGGGGTGCGGGGTGCTGGGTGCTGGGGCGGGGCGTGTGAAGGCGGCTGGACACCCGAGTGGATGCTGGAGAGGAGGGCTTCAGGGAGGGAGGAGGAAGAGAACCCTGGCGGCTGCTGCCTTTTTCTTGTAATAACTTTTATTTTTCATATCATTTCCTACATACAGAAAAGTTGCAACCATTCCTGTGTGCCCTTCAATTCGATTCTCCAGACATTAACATTTCCCCTTATTCTCTTTACCCTTTTATTTTTTCTGAACCATTGGGCAGTACATTGCAGGCGTGATGTTCCCTACCCCCGAATATTTGAGTGTGTTTCCGGAAAGCAAGGACATTTTCTTGCATCCGTTGTCAAGGTGGGGAATGAACACTCTCCAGTGTGTCATCTAAGTCGCAGCCAGCGTTCAGATCCCCAGGCCTCTCTCTAAACTCCGCTTCCCCATCCATATTGGACTCCAGCATCCCCTCCCAACCTCAGGGCGGGAGACCCCCACACCCCTTTCTGGGGTGTACTTATATGCTGAGTCCTGCTGGGGGTAGGAGTGGGCGGGGCCAGAGGCTGCCCAGTGGGATCAGCACCCCCCCCACCTTGCCCACACT